ATGCTACTTTATTATGATAGACATTATTATACTAATCTTCTAACATTCACATAGATAAAATAGTAGCAGGACCTTGATAGCTAACCCCAAAGAATAATTCAACTTTCAATATGCTTCAATCTTTTAGATTAAACGGCATCAGGTGATTAAGTATATTCCTAGCGTAAGGCATATTTCAACGCTAGCTATTTAATTTAAATATCATTGAAGAATCTTGTTCTGAAACTGCACGGCAAAAAAAAAAAAAACAAAATAGAAAAGAAAGGCATCCATATAATAAATATTAATTGTGAGGTTTGTGCAACAAGAATAACACGAAAAAGTAACATAGGGGATTAAGATCAGAGTTAAAAATACATTATTCTGGCATGGATTCTGAAGCAACATATGTGCAATAATTATACACTGATTTTTAAATCAATGATCTGAGCAGGAAAAACTTCTGAAGGAATCACTCTAACTAAAGCTAGGAATTTCAATAAGATTAAAGAATTCATATATGAAAGTAGATGTTTACTTTGATTCCATGAACTGATCGCGGTATTTTTTCTAGAAGCACCAGTGCTGAGTGGAGGAAGAGGTTTGTGCCTAACACAAATACATGGACATGAGAGTGAATTGTTTGAATTGGAGATAAAAAATAATGGCTGCATAAGAGGCAAGGGACATACGGCATAACCATAGCCCCCGAGGAGTGAAATTGCAAGGACCAGTAGCACCACTCCCTTTTGAGCTTTGGTACAAAAAGACCCTCCAGAACATCTTTGGCATTAGGTTTTGCATACCCAAGTTCAGCAAAAAAGCACGTGGCATTGTAACCAACCAGAAATAAAACACAATCAGAAAATGCAATCAAGAAAAATCAAATTTCCTCACCTAGTTAAACACACCACAAAAAAAAAAAAAAAAGCTCATGATGATCTCATATATAATTTTGCCTAATTATCCATCCAGTAACAACCATGGACTTGTTCAGCATGCGCAAATTCTCTCTATGAAGTCAAACAGTCAGGGGGCCCGGGGGCTATTGAATAAAAAACTACCCCATATTGTTTTATGCTAAGAGGATCAATGTACTGAGCCCTGTTAAAAGAACACCAATCCAAACAGGTATTTGAAGAGCATTTTCAATGCAAAGGCTGTTCCTATCACTGCATATACACAGTAAAAGCGAGATAATATAAATATACGTCCTAGATAGACAAGACAATGAGGAAATAGTAATTTGTGTTTTCACAAGATCACAATTCACCCACCCTATTTCATTACTATTTTTTCCACATAAGTGTGATATAGGTAGCTCAATTCATCCATTACTTTTGGTTACTGAACATGTTTAGATAAATATTGTTTTTTTTTGAAGCATTCTTAACAGCTACACAAGATTAAATTACCTTCAGGAATGTCGCAAGCCACTATGGCAATTTCAGCAATAACCCATAAGATGAAGTTTGTTGACCGCGGATATTCAGTTCTACAGTGCTCTGCTAAATGTTTTCCTGCAAAAAGAAAATACAATTAAAATAATTGGAGAAAAAGAAGCACATTAACATACATGAATATATCATTTTTGTCTGGTTAAAGGTGAAAGTTTGATTAAATCAAGTACCAGTTACAACTCCTAAATTGGCTGCCATTGATTGAATTATAAGAGCAGCACAAGAGGCAACCAATATAATCCAAAGTAACTGAAAAAAATGCATGCAAGATGCGTGAGTTGAACATTCTAACATCATATATATCATCTAAGACACTAATCTTATTTAAAGACAAAGTCAATTGAAAGAAAGTCCACCAAAAGATACCTCATATTTATATTGTGCCCCTGACTGAAGATCCGTTTCAACTGGAATTTGGTATTAGAACATAATAAGCAAACATATCTTAGAAATGTATTTCCCTAAATTAGATTAGGAAACCATTGAAGAGGGAAAAAGAAAACTCTTACAGTTTCCCGGGTCTATATATGCAATAGAAACAAGAAAACCAGGACCCATATATGCAAATAAGTTTTTCCAGCTTGTTTTCTGCAGAAGAGAATCATACACAAATCATGGTCATTGTGCAAATTGCTTTGGACACCAATTTAACTACAAGACTTAATTCAATGTAATTTCTAATTTGTCACTAACTGAAAGAAAATGTCAGGGGAAAAAGAAAAGAATCTTTAACATCTTAATATTGTTTTCCAAGTTTCAACTCATGGGGTCTTTCACTCTGTCACTCTTTGTTTTATTGAAGGGTTTGCTATGAAACTGTTACCAGGGGGCTGATTACTTGTTGATTATTCACATAAACCTCATATTACAAGCTTTATAACTATTTGAAGAGTGATACACATATGTGCTTATGACACTTCTGTATGTTGACTTATGCCGTTAACACTGTAAGTCCATCATATGGACTTATGACATGAAATACAACGTCATTGATAAGTAACTTCACTGTAACTGAAAAGATTAGTCATAAGCAAACAGAGAGAATAAAGACTTAAAGCTGCGAATCACTAGGCATCATTATCAAATCAGCAATATGGCAGCTAACCAGCAGAAAGAAAACTCGCAAACAAATTTTAAATATCCATTTTACATGCGATAGAAAATTAAAAACTATGATGAATCAAGAAAGGAGTTTGATAACTCACATCAGGACGACAATTTGTTCAGTGTCTGAGTTTTCGATCAGAGGAGCATCGGAAGAGCTTCGGTTTCCAGTGCTCAAAATGAATTGCGGCTGTCTAGATGCTGAACCTGTGAGAGCCATATTCTCTGTTCTCCTGTTCCTTTCTGCCTCTAATACTGACAAAAACAAATACTCTTAAATGAACGAATATCACACAATAGAGATCCGATCAAAGCGAATAATGAAATCCAAGAACTAGCCCCACTATCTTTTTTTTTTTTCCGCGGCGAGAAAATCCCACTACAATCTGAAATCCCCACTTCAAGATTCGTAATAAAAATGTAATCCTTTTTCTAATCCAGAAGCAAAAACAGAGCCCAACTCGGGTCGCTACATCTACTTGACAGAGTGGAGGATTTAAGCGGGGGCGAGGTTATCATTTTCTCGGGAACCAAGCAGGGAAATAGATTACAGGAAAATAATTCAAAATCTAATAATCATTGATGGAGCAGAGAAAATAAGATTACAGGAAAATAATTCAAAATCTAATAATCATTGATGGAGCAGAGAAAATAGCGTACCAATAAGGTGGTCAGTGAAGGAACATGGAAGCAGCTCTTGAAGAAGCGACAATGGGCGCCGCCGATCTTGTGCAATATAAGACTCTCTCAATTGTTGTCGTAGAATTAAGCTGCGGATGTCTGGTTTTATAGTTCTCTTGTTTCCGCCAAGTCGCAATCCCTCGGGTCCAACCACTCCTCGCAGAAACAAAAGCCGTGTCAACTAAACTGTCTTCAGTGTTCTTTGAACCCAAAAGGCACGAAACATAAAATGGTTTATATAGAGGCAAAACAGAACAGTGATGGGAGAGTGACTCCTCCTTCATCTTCGAACTTAGATTCTCATTTCTCAATGGAACTCGTCATGTACCTCCTCGAAGGAATATGTGACCGGGAGAATGACATTTAAGGCTTGTCAAGGAAATTGATTGTAATAAAGATCCATTAATTTTGTATTGGAGATTATCTCATAAAAATACATTCATATCTGGATAAATTGATTTACTGGCTAAACAAATCTTATACCATAAAATACAAACTAAATTTCTAAAAATTTGACAATATAATCGATTCATATTAATATATAAAAAATTTATTATTAATATAAGTAATTTATTATTAAAAATTTAACAATATACAAGAGGTTTGTAATTGATATTCAATGATATATCATTAATAAATAATGTATAATAAACTAACTATAATATAAAATATAATAAATATTAAACTTGCTTAGCTTGACCATATAATATGAACTATATTTGCAAAAGCTCTTATGTATTATTATTAAAAGTTGAGCCTTAACCTTTTTTTTTTTTGGTTGGGATTTAGAGTTTAACAAGTTAAGGTTAAAGTTTTTTATATTTCTTTAAAAATTTAATAAGTTAAAGTTTAATTTTTAATAACAATATTTATTTTTTCACTAGATAATATTTGACAAAAACTGATGGGTTCTTATTAAGAGAGCCTCAAATGTTATTCTCCTTATGTGATTCTTGTTGTCAGTGATTTAATAAGATATTAATTAATCTTTTAAACAAAATTCTTATTTAAAGTTGTTAATTATAAAAAATAATGTAATGCAAATTTAATTTTTTTTATTTAAATATATGGAAAATCATAAATTATTTTATTTTTAAATAAAATTAATAACTTAATCACTTCTCTTTAATTCCATCAAGATGGTTAGATATATCTTATAAAAAGAATGGGAGGATGTACACATTAGGAAAAACAAACCGTTTAATGTATAAACAAACATTTTATCTTTCTATTTTGCCCGCAACAAAAAAGAAGAGTTTTTTTTTTACCCTATTTCACCTTGAGCATATGGATAAGGATTGTAATATTGCCACTGGTTGAATAGGCTAGTGGACTTTCGTTTCGTTATTTTTCAAAAAGGCAAAAGCATTTAACGTTATCCTTTGTAATATGTTCACTGTAAATGAGCTACTCCTTTATTAAAAAATATAAAATATTTTTAATCTTTTTAAAATATGATCATTATTTTTTTAAATATTTTATTGATAGTGACTTTTTATTTATTATAAGGTGTTTAATAGAGGTAAATACAGAAAAATAGAGTTAGTTTGAAAGAAGGTAACTATTTATTGGAGTGAGATTCAGTTAAAAATGTCTTATATTTTTTAAAGGAGAGGAGCATATATTTCCTCCACCTCAAATTATAAAATACTTTTAGAAAAAATTTAACATTTCAAAATATAAAATATTTTAATAAAAATAATATTTTATCAATGATATTTTTTAATATTATCCTTCCCATATATTCTCTCTCTTTAATATTTTTTATCAATAAAGTATTAAATAAAAAATATTTTTAAAAGTTTATATTTTTTCTTGAAAAAGTAAGATGGTAAACTGTATTTGATGAGCTGTTAGCAAAAAAATATATATATATTTAATAAACTTTTTAATATGTGAGATTTCATTTAAAAGTGTCTTATAATTTAGAATTAAAAGAGTAGTATTTACTCCCTCCAATAAAAAGTATGAAACAATATTTTTAACTAATTTCACAATGATCAAGAAACATAATTAAAATTTATTGATATTATTAAATTAAAATGATAGTAATAAATATAATTTCTTTCTAAAATTACTCTATTGAAAATCAATCTATCTTAATCATCTTTAATTTATTTTTTATAGTATAATTTTTCTCCACGATACAATTATTTAGGACATTTGTGAAAATAAAGAAGAAAAATTTAATATTATTGAAATTATCCAAGCATCCTCCACCCCTTTAGTATTATAAAGCTTTTTTTTTTTTCAATGTATCATATTAGAAATATAGATATTATAGGTTTTTTAAGATACAATTAGTAAAATTTTTAAAAAATATCCTTAATTAAGGGTGTAATAATTAATTATTTCTAATTAAAATATCCTATTAAATAAAGAGGAATGTGGAAAGAATGTATAATTTTAAATATAATTAACTAATTCATTAAAAAAATATGATCCAATTAAAAGTACTTATAATATTGAATAGAAGAAGTATTATCGTTTGGACTAATACTAGCAAATAGAAAATGTTTTATATTTTAAAATGAATGGTTATTACTTTCTATTGAAAAGTGAAAAATGGAATACATTAAATTAATTCTGTTGATTAATTTCAGACTCTTAGTCGTTGAATTCTTGTAGTCTTTTTTTTTTTTTTGACCAAAATTCTTGTAGTCATTGAATTTATCACTTTTTAGCCGCCTAACCTAAGAATGGAATAACATGACGTGTAATGATTAATGAACATAATTGTCCTTTAAATGGTAAGACGAAATTATTTATTTATGAGAATAATTTGAGAGAAAAAATGGCAACTGGTCCAGGGAAAATACAGAAACAATGACAATAAAGTTTCAAAATAGATAATTTACAATAGTTAAGTTCTTGGCCAAAATTTTTTTAAAAAAAAATTGTAAATATTAATTCAAATAATTGCAAATAAAAATTTGAGTTGTAAATTGAAAGTTACATTTAGAACTTAAATATTTTATTTTAAAATTCCTGAATTTGCAACTATTTAATCAATATCTACTATTGATTTTACAAAAAAAAAATTAAAAACTTAACTGTCATAAATTTATTATTTTAAAACTTTAATATCTTTTTAATGTGAATGCATAACTTTAAATAATAATTATTTGAGAAAGATGGTTGTATTTTGTTTTGCCAAAATTATATTATTATTTACAAGTGGAGATGCTATAAAATCAATGTGTTTATATATATATATCCAAAAGCCTTTTTACGGATAATAGAGATTAATTTTTCCCAAAACACGAAGGCAAATGGCATATTTATCTCAGCAAGATTTGCTTTTCTTTTTTGTTTAAGCTGAACAAATAAAAGATACTCATAGCATATTCTTCAGCTTTTGTTCTTATCTATTTAAATATTTCCCATATGGGAGACATAGAGGTTTTAAGGAGATTCATTAATTTAAATTAAATTTTAAATGTTAAATTTTAAAAATCTAGAACTTCAATTATTAATTTTACAATTTTATTATAATAAATTTGTAACTTGTATTTCAAATTTTAACAACAAAAATAAATTTATTTATTCTTCACTCATGTTAAAATTTAAAAATAAATTATAAATTCATCACAATAAAATAAAAAAAATTGATAATTGAAGTTGTTTGATTCCTAAAATTTAGTACTTAATACTTAATTTAAATTAATCAATCCTTTTGATACCTATATGTTATTCTTCCTTCTGAGACTCCTTTTTAAGTAACTTGGCATAGTTTTTTATTTTAAGTATATTTCTATTGGAAAAAAAAAAATCTTCACATCAATCATCACGCATAATAATATTTTCTCATTTTATAATACTCTTTTTATTTAAAAATATAAGATATTTTTTGAGAGATTAGATGTTAGAAAATGTAAGATATTTTTAATTTTTTAAGATATAATCATTGTCTTTTTTTTAAAGCACCTTTATTAATAATGACTTTCTATTTATTGTAAGGTGTTTAATAAGAGTAAATATAAAAAGATATGATTAATTTAAAAATAGACAACTATTTTATTGAAGATAAAATTCAGTTAAGAATGACTTATATTTTTTAATAAAAAAAGTAAAAATTATTGTTATTGGCTAGGAATATGTATGTTGTATTATAAAAATATAAAAAAAAAATATAAATATGGATAGAAGATAGGGAATTAAAGAGAGAGAGAGAGAGAGAATAAAGAGAGAAGCACGGGAACCGTAGAAAGTGGGGAGGAAGGGAAGAATACTGGGAGAGGATTACCGGGATGGATAGGGAGCCACGTGGCAAAAAAGGGCTAGAGTGGACCCGCTTGGCATGAGGAAGAACTGTACAAACCGGTATCGTCGTGTGCAGTAGATCCTCTTCGCAGAGGGCCCCACATTATCGTACTTTGACTCTAACCATCGCTCGCAACCCATGCCACCTGGCTTTCTTCATCATGCCATATTTTCTGAACATTTATTTGTGTGATTTTTACTCTGCATTACTACAGATTTAAGTGCTCGTCGTCCCAAATTATACTCACACCTACCCAACTAAAATATAAAATATTAATAATTAATTTATAATTTTTTAAAATATTATTTAAAATTTAAATTTTTTTAAAAAAATTATATATCTTTTCAATTTTATTTTCATTGAATACTATATATAAGTGTTTTGATAATAATAATTAAAATTATAATGTATCATTTTTTTAAAAAAGAATAATAAATTAAATGATGGTATAGGTGAAAAAATAATTATAAAGTTACATAATGTCCTTATTTTGGACCAAATAACGTTTTAAAAAATATCTTATATTATGATGTGAAAAGAGTAAGATACTTTTAATAATAATTTTTCTTAACATTTAATAAAGATAAAAAATAAAAGTAAATATAAAAAAGTGAAATTTTAATCAAAATTAAACTTCTGCTTCTATCCTTAAAGATAAGACCAAGTAGTGTTTGTTTTGGTTTAAATTATGAGAAATAAAGCAATGCATTGATTACATTATTTCATATATACTCTCTTGGGTCCAAATTAGAAGTTTTTAGCAAAATTCTCATACGAATTAAAGTATCCATTTTCATAAAACTATATATAATTTTCTCTTTTTATCCTTAGTCTTAATTAATAATATACTTCATGATAAGTAATAAATATAAGGGCTAAAATGAAAAAAAATACTTTTACATATAATAGGTTGTTTATATTTTGAACTAAAATTAGTTAAAAAAATGCTTATAATTTGGATCAAAGGGAGTATCTCTTTGTTAATTGTAAGGAGAAATTAAGAATCATTAAATATAAGGTATAGCTTATAATTTCAAACATTAAATTGATGTAGTTAATGAGAGA